TAGTAGTAAGGCCAGGAGCCCCTAGTAGCTTCTTTGCTCCTAGTAGTGAGGCCAGGAGCCCCTAGTAACTTCTTTGCTCCTAGTAGTAAGGCCAGGAGCCCCTAGTGGCTTCTTTGCTCCTAGTAGTAAGGCCAGGAGCCCCTAGTAGCTCCTAGTAGTAAGGCCAGGAGCCCCTAGTAGCTTCTTTGCTCCTAGTAGTAAGGCCAGGAGCCCCTAGTAGCTTCTTTGCTCCTAGTAGTAAGGCCAGGAGCCCCTAGTAGCTTCTTTGCTCCTAGTAGTAAGGCCAGGAGCCCCTAGTAGCGTCCTTGCTCCTAGTAATGAGGCCAGGAGCCCCTAGTATCTTCTTTGCTCCTAGTAGTAAGGCCAGGAGCCCCTAGTAGCTTCTTTGCTCCTAGTAGTAAGGCCAGGAGCCCCTAGTAGCTTCTTTGCTCCTAGTAGTAAGGCCAGGAGCCCCTAGTAGCGTCCTTGCTCCTAGTAATGAGGCCAGGAGCCCCTAGTATCTTCTTTGCTCCTAGTAGTAAGGCCAGGAGCCCCTAGTAGCGTCCTTGTTCCTAGTAGTAAGGCCAGGAGCCCCTAGTAGCTTCTTTGCTCCTAGTAGCGATGCCAGGAGCCCCTAGTAGCTTCTTTCTTGAAAGTGTTCTCGTTTGGAATGTCCACACGGCACTAAAGTTGCATCACAGCCTTTTAGTCAAGGGTCATGAGCAGCATGTCACAACGAAAGCCAGAAATGTTCAGCTGTTGCTGCAAGGTTTCAAGTGCCAGCTGCCACTGTCTCCTCCTTGGTCAGAAGGCCACAAGAATGACGATCACGAGATATACCATCTGGACTGCAAATAGTTGCACCTAACTGTCCAAGTTCAACCAACATCTCACTGGGGTGCAAGCGAATCACCATGTTCAAAATCGCATGGATGAATTGATATGATTTGCTCTTACTTCAACTTGCCCAAAATCGCGTTCAGACCAGAAAGAAACAAAGCTAAAGTGCTAAAGCCGCAAACATTGCCCATCCGCCACTTGCCCCTTGCTCCTTGTCAGGTGTTTCATTGTGATGGTAAGCTCACGGCACACATGGCCCCTCTTCATTCCGGTCATGGAATCGGGTGCAGCCAAAAGCATTTCAACGAGGCGCCCTGAATATGCTTTGGATTTATTTGCATGTGTTCGATGATCGTTCACGCGTATACTTCATCCCAAAGAAGTGAACCGCTTGCAAAAGAAAGACAGGAAAGGACTACAGAGTTGAATATGCTATAATATAATACTGGTTATCTGAAGTTTTGTGGATGCTTGTAGTGAGGTATGAAAAGTTGAGAATCATGGCTGCAGTCTCGGAGATAAGTGAACCCTTCTACGCGTCTGCTCCCTGGCTGCCAGTCTTGGGCTTCCAAGCCAGCAACAGCTCTGCATCTGCTTACCTTTTCTTCTTCCTCCAGCTTCAGCCTGGCTTCTTTCGTGCGTATTGACGACCACAAGTCACCCACCCACCTTTCTAAAAGGGAGCAAACAGGCCTCTCTAACATCTTGGAAGCGAACCAAGAACCACAATTGATCGAGCCTTTATTCGGTCTCAGAGAAGAAGTCTGTAGATCACTAGGCTTAGAGGCTTAGCAGAGTCGTCTTTGATTTCTGCAGATTGGACCACAAATGCCAAATGAAGACATGAATTTAACCAGCCATGTGTAGGGCAGTGAGGCCTAAGACATCTCAATCCACATAAAACTGAAACTATCAAATATCGCAGCGTCCGAAACCTAGAACCTCTAGTGGCTTCGAACTCGAAACTTTGTTCCGTATGGAAGCGTGGAACCGCTTCTGCCAAATCATTTGAGGCGCTGACTGCTCCATTGCTGCCAGGTTGGCGATGTACCTGGCAGAGTGCATTTGGGATCACAAACATGGAGATTTCTTGCTGACACGAAAGATCACCACAGTCTTGCAACGAGCTTTTGTATGCGTTTTTCGCCAAGCTCAGTCACGGTCAGTCTTTGGTTGGGCGAATTGCGACCGTTCCATCTCAATCTAGATGACGGAAGCCGGGCGAAAACTCCGAAGGAGCTGACTCGTCCAGGGTCGTTTGACGAACCAGAGAAAGAGTCAGTGCAAAATGAGATTTGGATCTTTTTTGAAGACCTCACTGCTTGTTGCAGAATGGACTGTCACTGTCCTATCCTCGCTCTAAGGAGTCCCTTCACAAATATATGTATGAAGCTCTCTCCAAAGCACCAGAAGCAACTCTGAACAGTCAAAGAAAGTCAAACCAATATGAATATGAGCGCAACGGATATCAACCCGCGCTCATTGAAGGGATGCTACTCAGAACGTTCACACACTGACAGCACTTTCTAGCACACGAGGGTTGTTGGTGTACATCGGGAAACATTCAGGAAAGGTTCTGGTTCTTGCATTTGCATTGAATCTGTCACACTGATCAGCCATTGTGGCCAACTCCTGCTGAAAGGTCTTGTAAGCACTTTCTGGGCTCTTCTCTGGACTTGCCAAGACAGCTGTTTTTGGGAAAAGATGGGACCAATCCTCTCCCATGAGTTTCGGCATCGGAGTTGATGTGAATGACATCAACAAGGCCTGAGCAGTCGCCGTCTGCTTGGTTCCACACGCCGATCCATGTGTCCACTTGAAGGCCGTCCATGAAGCATCTTGAGCATAAACTTCAACAGCACCCATTTGTTCATGCCCTGCTGTGACCATCCACACAAGACTTGCGAGCCAATTCACGTAGAAGTCATAAGCTGCACATACATCCTCATCATTGTTGGGTGCTTGAATCCAAGGCATTCGAATCCTTCCCAATGCATGTGCAGAAACTGCCTCATATCGAGCAAAGTAGTGCTGGGCCATTGCAACAAGTTCTTGATCTTGAACAAGATCTTCCTTTTTGGCATAGTAGCACTCAAGGTAGGAGGTGACAAATTTGCAAAATATGTCATAGAGCTGAGAAGCTTGACGAAAGTACTCTGTATCCACCCCTGTGCTCTTCTTGTAGGCGAAGTAGTCTTTGAGGTGCAAGCACGGCCCACCTTGTGATTTTGGCACTTCATATCCCCAAACTTGAAGAGATGGTGCTGCGGAGAAAGCCAGCTCGAAGCCCTTGTCAGTCAGTGCAAAGCAACGTGGCCCCATCGTTCGAGGTGCTACAAGGTTGTGTGCCGCATTGTCATTGATGGAGATGGTCTGGTAGGTAAAGGGTGTCATGAAGCGTCGGATTGGATGGGATTCCGACATCTGCTCACGCAAAGATGTGACGAACAAGTTGGCCAATTGCAAATGAACAAAGTATAGGTGATCCACCATGGTCACCAAGGAGAATAAGGAGGAGCGAAAGCGAAACTTAGTTCGTTCCCACTCTTCATCTCCTGGTCGAGCGATGAACTGTTTCTGGTGAAAGTCTTCCACCAAATCGCCACGGCCTTGGTCAACAATCATCACAGGACGCCAATCCTCGCTAAAGTATGCATCACCTCCATATCTTTCGAATCCATGACGCACCGGCAATCCGGATAAGGCATTGGTCCTCACCACGAAGTGCTTCTTGCCATCGACGACTTCCACCTCCACACGATGTGCTCCGAGTCCATAGAGGCAGAAGCGGGTTAAAGCCTCATCGCTGTGCTTGTCTAACCACTCCTGTGCCACGAAATACCGCAAAACAAGCCCAACATGTCATGTTTCTACTCCAACTGGCTAAACTTCCGAATGTGGAAAAACTAGGCAACCACCAGTTCCTAATACTTCAAATCGCTATATAAACTCCCTGTCTAATGCTTTTCAACATGCAAAATACACATGCACATCTTCTGTCCTGGTAGACATGTGGATAAACAGCTGAAAGCTGGTTCATCACAAAATCGACCGGATTCTCGTCTGGCCCAAATTCATTCCAGTGCTCATGTCTTGGCAGCCAATGCATCCGATCTTCAATGAAGTTCTCCAGGAGCTTTGGAGAAAGGTACTGCCTGCAGGTGGATTACAGCATTGAGACATGTCAAAAGGTACTGCCTTTCTCTACAAAAGGGATTTTGGTTGATTTGTACGGTATGCGGCGTCCGATCGAGATATTAGCCGAGATGCTCCAAAAACTGATCTTCCGCACCCTTGGGCACTTGGATATTGAGGCCATAATCCAAGTATTGTTTCCTTGGAAGGTACAAAACAACATCCTGGTGTGCTTTTTCACTGTGGACCCCGACAGACTAAGGATTAAAAAGAGCCGCATCAAACTGGCCAACCACGTTGGAAAAGTGCAGTTCAGCCTTCCTTGAAGAAAAACAAGTATTCAAGTCGCTTCGCGAGGACAACCGCCCGCACCAGTGGCTCTCAAAGAGAGGGTGAAGGAAGTATCTATTATAATCATTCCACTCTATTTTCGGACCCTTTGATACATTGCAAGCATCGTTGGATCTATGTATATATGTTTCGACCCCCTTTGAAATTGTAGGTCCAAAAATAGAGTGATTATGCACGATAAACTATACAATGTGCATGATCGAGACAAGGCTGAGAGGAGTGAATGATAATCACCCTGTTTGTGGACCCTGTTAAAAATTCTTTAGGTATGTCTGGATAATCACCCTATTCTTGGACCTTCTCACAAATTGTTTACCTGCATTGTTGGATAGTTTTGTTCGACCCCCTTGAAGTTGTAAAATGTTCACGGGGTCTAAGTCCGGATGTTGCAAGCAACCCTGCGAAGTCACTGCATCTCCTGCACTCTGCTTAAAAAATTACAAAACGTCTCTTGGCACGCAGGGTTTTTAGGCAGGTGATCAGACTTGAGAAAGGAAAACACGAAAGATGGAGATTTACCAGGGTGTGGTCGTGAGGGGTTGGAAGAGCTTGTGGCGTGGTTTGGCGTGATACCTCGACAGTGGATATCGCGGCGGGCGGGGGGCGCGCAAATGTTGCGGTGTAAACGTGTGCTGCGTAAGCTGTGCTTTGTGTAGAAATTGCGGAGTGTAAACACTGCTTTTCATGGAAATATGCAACAGCCGCGGTGTCTAGACGCAGGGTTCTGTAGCACTTGTGGTGTATAAAAAATTGCCCAGTGTCGTGTCAGGGTGCGCGCCGCAAAAGAGTGGCCGGCCGGGGTCGCGCGAGGGGTTGGTACAGCATGCGGTGGGGTCTGGCACCCGTGGCGGTTTGTAAACACCGCTTTGCATAAAGGCTGCGCTGAGTCAACGCTGGCTTGCAAGGAGCTATGGTGTGTGAACGCTGGTTTGCATAACAGCAGTGGCGTGTAAACGCTGGTGCACGCAAGGGCTGTCGTGTGTAAGGGCTGCTTTGTCCCAAAGCTGCACGTGCTGTGTAGACACGGTGGAAGCGCACGCATTGCATAAGTTCTTACCGTGAATTCCCTGAGGAAGAAGGTGTTCATGCAGTCGAAATTAAATTCCTAGCTCGTGGCGAGATGGTGTCATCTCGTCGCAAAAACGAAACCCGCTGAGCGGAGTGCTGAGAGGGGCTCAGGCAAGCACTGGGGCGACACCGGTGTGATGTCGGATTGCCAAAAATCTGACAAATGTCCAGGTTTTTGATTGGTCGACGCAAAGCTTGGAGTGATTGTTCGCGGGTTTCAGACTTCTGTTGTGGAGAGGTTCCCCGACTAGTTAATTACTCTGTTCCTTCAAGTTCTTTTGGGGGTAAGGAAAAGCCAACAAACTTACATAAATAACTTCGCTTCTGGACAACTAAACTCAACATTCTTGAAGGAGATTGGCGCCGGGCTGTGATGACAAATGTGGTTTGAAGTACACGCCAATAGACAGTCGTTTGCCTTCAAGAAGTGGGTTCAACAAACAATGTGCCTGCAGTGCTCTCCTTTCTTTCGCAGCGCTTGCAGTTTATGGCTGAAAAGAACTGTAACTACAACAAACTTCGCAGTACTCTGCTCTGCTTGCAGTTTGGCTTCTCCAGCACCCGACGAGGGGCCATACCCTCCACAGGCATGAATTCTGCGGAGGCTTTGGGGTCTTTGATCCCACGATGCTGGAAGTAGTAGAAGAAGTAAATGAGTTTCTGATAAACATCTGTGTTCCAAGCGCGGCTACACTTCCAAGAGTAGAGGTGGCAGCATCCACAGGAGAGTGGGAGTGCGAAGAAGAGCCCTGCGATCAAGCTCAAAGTGGTGAAAAGAAGAAGCACCAGAACCATCAGCAAATACGCAATGATTGCCAGGAAAGGGACAAAACATCCACAAGGCCTCAAATTCGGTCGGAGTTCAGTCCTAAAGCTCCAAATCTGTCCGTTTTTCTTAGCCGAGAAACATCCCGGGTACATTGAAGCACTTTGGTAACGATCAAACAAAGAAGAAAACCACCAAACTACACCATATTCAAGTCTTTTGCAAAATCAGCATCATCAAACTCATCAAACCACATAAAATGTTCTCTCTGTCTCTCCAAAGAGCCATAAGAAGAAGACATCCCAGGTAGGTTTCGGTTGCATCACTGGCCAACTTTTTGGCATTTTCACCTCGTCGAGAAGATGCGTTGTCTCCTGTTTCGAGGTGTCGGGTGCCATTGGTCCAGAAGACCAGCAGGTCTCTACTTGAGCCTTGAGAAAAACAAGGAAACAATAATGCATGCAAATTGAATGCAAACAATGAGCCTATGGAGCCTTGGTGCAAGGACACTTGAATAAAGGGATCAAGCGTGTATCCAACAAAAACTCAGAAATGCTTCTTATTCTTGAGAAAATCAGAAAACGGTGCATGAACATAAAAAGTATCACACTTTGTGCACGTGTTTCTTCATTTATGGAAACGGTGAACAGTCAATCATTATGGGGCGCATCGCAGGTTGGCAATACTTTGTCTGGGACAACCTCGTCAGTCATCCAAACATTTGCACAAGCCAAGGACGAGAAGTTACACGTTACAAGTCTTTCAAACATCTTCCTTTGGACCGGCGTGTGACATCTTCTTTTAGGCCACAAAACGGTGCTTGTCGGTTGCTTGTAGGCCTCTATGCTCTAAGCTCGGAGCTTGTCTTCGGGTCCCTTTGATATGAGCTCTTCTAGGTCATAGCCCAAGACCTACCAGATATGGCCAGCTGGAATCATCTTGGAACTGCAGCTCACCAAACATTGCATCACTGCATGTTCATCGTTGTCATGGCTTGGATCTATCCTAATACCTGTAACTGTGGATGATGATGGTTAGTAAAGGCCTTGTTCAAAAATGATGATAGTTGTTCACTGACTGTTACAGGTAATAGGACAGACCCAAGTCATTTCACATGTTTGCACCATCGCACCATGTTTGTACCTCTTTGGCTGTTGCCAACATCTTCTGAACGGCAGGAAGCTCCTGGTCACGAGCCTAAACGCATTTTCTTAGCATACAAATACAAAGCTACATGTGTATATAATATATATATATTTCTTATTGCTGGTCAGCAGCGGCTCATTGTAATGCCTTCAACATGTCGCCACCATCAAACATTGCGCAGTTCCGCGAGCTGGAAAGCATCTTCACAAACGTGACCGATTTGATCATTCCATCCAAACGAGACCTGAGATGGTCACCATTGCACGCAGTAAAGCCTGAGGCCCGTCCTTCTGCTGCCGGAGCATGCCAACATACTGGGAGCCTTGCCCTGGCAAGACAAGCACAACAGTTATATCACATTGACATACATTGATGACATGTGTGAGACTCATAAAAAGAAGTGCAATACCAGTATTCGCAAGTTGGTGTATTCGCAAGTTGGTGTCGCTCACTAGTCGGTAGTGACTTTGGGGCGACAGAGTGCCCGAAGTTCGATTCCCTTCATGCCTGGAAAAACCAAGCAAACTGGCAGAGGCTTCGAAGTATCCTTTCTGCGCACTCTAAAAGCGTCCGATGCACAAGCGTATCGTTGGGTTGGAATTGTCGCTTGGAAAGCTGTTCCTGATTTGTTCTCAAACATCTTGCTTGCTCGCTCCTCACGCTGCACTGGCTCCATGCCCAACGCTCGGGCAAACTTCCCACGCGGTCTCAGCTGTGCCTGGCAGATCTCAGAATCTCCGCTTGGATTTGGTCCCTAGTAGCGTCCTTGCTCCTAGTAGTACGGCCAGGAGCCCCTAGTAGCGTCCTTGCTCCTAGTAGCGATGCCCTTTGCTCCTAGTAGCGTTCTTGTTCCACATTGTGGCAGTTGGTCAAACATTTGGAAGGTCGAAAGAGACGCCTTCGATGTTTGTCAAGTTTGGTGTCTTCTATCAGTCCGAGATCAGTGTTCAAGGCAATGCAGGGATGTGCTTTGGTAAGGATTCCGCAGAGATGCATTATTCTGGCCTTGGGGGCTCGGTCATATTTTGTGCCTTGGTGACTCGTTCGCTGAACGCATTGCCTGCTTGCGGGCTTCGTATTCATCGGGCTTGACGCCTTTGAACACCACCTGCAAGTTCAAAGCAATCATAAACGAGTTTTTTGGTGCAGAACCAAAACGACCGCATTTGGCAGAACATGTCTTTAAAACAGCCTTCTCCCACTTCTTTAAATGAGAAGGCTTCTGCATCCTCTGCGCAATATGCCATGCGCTTTGATCTGCAGAGTTCAAAGCCTCCCGTGGGGTGTTCAAGCAAAGAAGAACACAACATAGCACAGCTGGAACAAACAAGTGTCCAGTGCCCATGGTGCAAATCCCAAAGTTGGCTGGAAAACCTCTCAAACCACATTGCTTGCCTCGGGGTCTGCTGCTCCCAGTTGAATGAGCTCCCACAAGACACAAAGGGAAGGGCCTGGCCGATGCTTCCAGATGTGGATAATCTAATAGCGATGGCCTCCAACCTAGTAGCTTCTCGCTACTAATGGCCTCCAACCTAAGAGCGATGGCCTCCAACATGGAAGCTCCCGAGCGGCTCTCTTTGGGAAAACATGTCAAAGTGACCATAAGGATGTTGGCCCAATCCAGTCATGTGCATTGGAGTCATTCCCCACCTGGGATTCAGTGGCGTGACAAAGTGTAGGCAAGGAAAGCAAACATGCGCAATAAAGCTTTGGGGAATCGCGGTTCGAACAAGCACCAGGCAAGCACGGAGCTTGAGGAGCTGTGAAAACGAAAGTATAGGGTCCTTGCTCCAAGTAGCGATGCCAGGAGCCCCTAGTAGCTTCTTGTTCCTAGTAGTAAGGCCGGGAGCCCCTATTTGCTGCCAGTAACATGCTAGTCAGCAAGTTGCTTCGGCGCACCTATTTGGCTCTTTGCATTGCTCCAGAGTTGCCTTGAGGGAAGCAAGCAGGGTTTGCAAATTTCAGCTTTTCAGTTCAGCCCATCTTGAGTGGCCTGAAGTTACTAGGCTGACATCAAAGAATTTGTGCTGTTTTTCAAGTCGAGCAAATTGAAATTGGTTTCCTCACTCTGCTATCACATGTTTCAGTTAGCGCAAGCTCTTTGAAATGCCTCCATTCCAATTGCTCCTCCGAATCCCACTCAGGTCTAAGCCAAAGAAAGAAGTTTCAAGTCGTCATGGTACGCAGCCTGAGCGCATCGGTACAAGACAAGCACAGTCGAAAAGTCGCTTGCAACATGTCACACGTGACACGTATCAAAGCGCCCCGACCACATGAGCCACGTTCCAAAGGTCGAAGTTTCGAAGACCATCGGCCGCCATTCCAAAATAGTCCTCCTTGTTGATCACAATCCTGCGGCGAAAAACGCACTGCGAAGCACTAATCAGAAGGGTCGACCACGACTTCTCTCATATGTTTCCAAGAAGCAAGGGTCACATGTCATGTTCGGCATGGTCTCTGTTGGTCTCTTGTGAAAGTTTCTTGGGGTTCATTAAACGCATTCGGCATGTGCCATCCAAATGAAAGCAACGGGCAAAACTCTTCGAAGTACTCAGCATGACAAATTAATGTTCAAAAAAGTGATATCACTAGGAGCAAGGACACTACTGGGGGCTCCTGGCCTTACTACTAGGAGCAAGAACGCTACTAGGAGCAACGTTCTGCCACTATACTGTACTGTTCTAAAGACCTCTAGTCTGCCGCATCCAAACACTTCGTACTCTGCAGGTGCTCCTTCGATTCACTCGCTCAGGATGGTAGACCCATTTGGGCAATTGATATGAGCTGATTGGTCGATGTCCGGGCTTGTTCTCTGCCTGGTCAACACGGAACCAAGAGCTGCCGCACAATACAACAACCAGCCGTTCGCCATTTCATGTCGAAATCAAGCTCTGGTAGCAGCACACAAAAAGAAAGCATCACTCACATCAAAGCTGTAACTGTATATTGATCGACCGATCGGGTCAGCTCGTGAGTTTCAAAACTTGGTATAATACATGAGTATGACGACACATTAAACGCTGAAATGAAATGAAATGAATATCCATCTGAACCTATCTCCAAATTATCCAGGCCTTTTGCTCGGGTTCCTTCAAAGGGCTGGGCTTCTCCCCATCGACATAGTACTCGGTCACAGGCGGCCACAAGATGCCACAAGCACACGCTGTACTTTGCAACTGGCACACTCTGTAAAACTGTCATTGAGAACAAATTTGAAAAAGTCAACTAAAACAAAGCTACTAGGGGCTCCTGGCATCGCTACTAGGAGCAAGGACGCTACTAGGGGCTCCTGGCCTTACTACTAGGAGCAAGAACGCTAC